ACCTCCCGGTGTCTGTATTTCATTCAAAGTACAGTCACATTTCAGACCGTTTAGCGTTTTTACCGTGTATAAAGTAGCTACTAACTAATGATAGGCGTCTGCTAACATCAGAGCAAGTTTAGCGTTAACCAACGACATGTGAGGTGCAGTGATGCTTCTGTTCTGAGCAGTAGAGGGCAAACATTTCAGTTGACATCTCGGGCATTTAAGCGGCACTGAAATCTGCGCTGCAATACGGTCCAGTACATACCGATCTTATAGGAACTGGTGCCATACTAGTACCGGGGTTTGGTACCCAACTTTACATTTAATACATTTTATCTTACACTCTAAGGGGATCTGTGTATGTAAACTGCGAGTCATTGGAAGTCTTCAAGGTAGCGGTGAAGCACTCAAGACTGTACGCTTCTTTTGGGCTGTAGTTAGGGCTGTCACGATCACGTCACGATGTAATCGCGGTCATCACGATCACGTCACCATGTAATCGCGGTCATCACGATCACGTCACCATGTAATCGCGGTCATCACGATCACGTCACCATGTAATCGCGGTCATATGCTGCATGCGCAGTCATCAAATGGCAGGTTAAGCAGTTTAGGAGTGTGCTTAAGATATTCATGGGATGCGTATTGTGGCACCCAAAAGTTAGTGATCTGTATAAATTCAGCGTATCCTTATGTTTGCTAAATTCAGTTAGCGGAGTACACTACTAATTTGCTTACCAAATTCTGGGCGTAACTAAATGTCCATAAAGTACCGAAAAGCCGGCATCCAGACAAATGTTTCACCCGCCGTCTAAAGCCCTGGTGGTTACGGCACGTGCCATATAATAACGCTGCAATTTAATCGTGATCACCCTAGTTGTAGTACACATGCCCTGATCTGCCAGAGAACACGGTGAATGATGAGCCACCTGAACCCCCCCCAACATGGTGGTGGTATCGTTTGCCTCTATTATCTCATGACTTCTGTTGACATTTTAGTCAGGTGGCCAGATTCTGGAATTGTGGTGGAATGTTAATGGAGCTCAAACATACGTGAGGTTTTTGGTTGAATAGATGTCATCATCTTCGGGAAGGATTTTAACTGCCCCAGATAGTTCACCATGCACCCGTGATGCTTCTTTGGTAACTGTATTCATTCCTCTCTGTGGATGCAGACTTACTTCAGACATATTTGTTGGCCTTGTAGGTCTTCGACCAGTATGTGAAAACTCGTGCTGAGGAAGAGCGAAAAGAAAAGAAGAACAAGCTCATGCAAGCCAAGGAAGAGTTCAGGAAGATGCTGGAGGAAGCAAAGCCAAATATCAGGCAAGCCGCATAGTACTGTCTTAAAAGTCCTCTGTACAATGTTTATGAAGTGAGAACTGTCAGTTTTATTGAAAATATCCCCTGGATGTCATTTTCCAGGATGACTTTTAGCGAGTTCGCTTCAAAACATGCCAAGGATGCAAGATTCAAGGCCATTGAGAAGATGAAGGACCGGGAAGCCATGTTCATTGAGTTCATGACCGCTCTCAGGAAAAAAGAGAAAGAGGATTCCAAGAGTCGTGGAGAGAAGGTGAGCTGGCAAGACTAGTCAGGGGGCTATTAACTGGGGGGGGGGCTTGGGGAAAGTTGGGCGCTGCTGATGTGCCCTTGAATGGGCCAGCATAGGGGAACCCAGACTCCACAATCTGTAGCCAAGGCACTGTCGTACGACATGAAGGTACTTGGAGTACTTAATTCCAGGGAAGCTTCCTAGGAATAATAAGGTTTGTTAGTTCAATGCTTTTCTGAACACTTCTCTATATACACATTTTCACTACTTTTATTACTGCTACCCAAAAGCTTTTTCGATGCAAATCCCCAGTGTACCACGGAGGGTTAATGGTTATAGTGACTGGTATGATTTCCTCTAGGAAGAAAAGGTCACCCATCAAAGATTAATGACTGTGAAATGTCACCTTCCAGGGACAACGTAAGGGTGGGTGGTGCTCTCTGAGGGAGGGCCCCACAGTCAGTCACCCTCTCAGTGACACTGGCTTGACTGCTCTCCAGGGCACCGTTAATTACCACCGTACTCACGGGAGTCAATAGGTTATTAGTGACCTCACCTCAACTTGGACCAAGCTCTTATGTGTTTGGAATTTCAGCAGCTTCCTGTCAGATTTGACTGGGAGAGTAAGCATCTTTGTTAAAAGCTGTCACTCGGGGGGGGGGGGTACTTCTGCTTTTTATGTGGCTTCTTCTTGTACATTGTAATTGTAGCTGTGCTGATATTCGTCACATCTTTTTAATTACTGGTGTGGAGCTTGTTTGAATGGGAGGTGTTGAGTGCGTGCTTTTCCTCCCCATGAAAGATGAAGGTTGACTTCTTCGAGCTCCTGGCTGACCAGCACGTCGACGGCCAGCTGAGGTGGAGCAAGGTGAAGGACAAGCTAGAGGGTGACCCCCGCTATAAGGCCGTGGAGAGCTCGGCCATGAGGGAGGAGCTCTTCAAGCAGTATGTGGAGAAGCTGTCCAAGGTGTGCTCAGCTATCCATAAGCACAGAGTCACACGCTGAGGGGCTGGGGTTAGTGTGAGCATGACCGTGTGCTTCTGGGGCTGCAGAACCTGGACTCCGAGAAGGAGAAGGAGCTGGAGAGGCAGGCGCGGATAGAAGCCAGCCTGCGGGAGCGGGAGCGGGAGGTGCAGAAGGCACGCTCGGAGCAGACCAAGGAGATCGACCGCGAGCGGGAGCAGCACAAGCGAGAAGAGGCCATCCAGCACTTCAAGGCCCTCATGTCAGACATGGTGTGTAGGGTCTCCCATCCTTCCACAGGTTCCAAAAACCCAAAATCTGGCATCAGAAGGGCCTGAATTCATGTCCATAACCCTACTGCATGGGTAGGCAACCCTGGTCGTGGAGCGCCGGTATCCAGCAGGTCTTCTGTCTTACCTGAGGAGTTTGTCTGCCTAAGATCAGGTTGCTCCATCAAAGACTATGTAGGATAGAAGACATTCTGGACACTGCCACTCCAGGACCAGGGTTGTCTCCCCCTGCTCTACTGATTACTGATTAGGAAATTGTCAGATAAGTTAAGACTGCTATGAAGGCTGTGAGTCATTGTTCACTGGCCCCTACTTTCCCCTGGTACTTAAAAGTAACCGTGTCCTGTGTCAGCTTAAAGCAGAGGCATCGGATGCCCAGCAAACAGATGTGGTTTGATGCAAAGGTTCCTCCATTTCCCCATTCATGTACATGGACCTTTGGTTGAACTTTTGCAATCTTCTTGTACTCGAGTGCGATTCTCTGATTTTTGTCTTTGCTCACGCCAGGTACGATCCTCAGATGCTACGTGGTCGGACACTCGGCGGAATTTGAGGAAGGACCACCGCTGGGAGTCGGCCTCCCTGCTGGAGCGTGACGAGAAGGAGAAACTCTTCAACGAGCACATCGAGGCGCTCGCCAAGAAGAAGAAGGAGCACTTCCGGCTGCTGCTGGATGAGACCTCTTCGGTTCGTCGGCCTTAAAGCTGCTCCCTTGAATCTGTTTTAACACATATTTGGGCATTGCAGATTATCTGATCCAAAATTCAGTGGGTCAGTGAAGCTTCACCGCTGTTTGTTTAACATCAGTAACTTATAAGAAGGATGATAGCTAAGTGAATGCTTAGCATAATGCTAACGTCTTATTTACTCAGGGTTAATGGGTATGCTAACCAAAGCGGGACTGCGAGTCACTGAAGCATTCCGGCATCCTCTGTCTTTCGGTGTTTTATCATTATCTCTGTTTGGGCATCTTAGATCACACTGACGACGACGTGGAAGGAGGTGAAGAAGCTCATTAAGGAAGATCCCCGCTGCATCAAGTTCTCCAGTAGTGACCGGGTAATAAAAAAGAAAAGAAATTAATTTGCTCTCTGCTGTCTTTTGGGTGTGGTTTTGCTTGGTGTAACTTGCCTCTTATGTCTGGTTTTACCTGGCTCTGTTACAGAAAAAGCAGAGGGAGTTTGAAGATTACATCAAAGACAAATATATCACAGCCAAAGCGGATTTCAGGACACTCCTGAAAGAGACCAAATTCATCACGTACAGGCGAGTTGCTGTCTGAGCTGCTCTTTGTCGAAGTTGGTCCTCCTGTCCCCTGACTGGTCGGCCCTAGGGGTCTCATCTCCCTGTGATATTTACCTGCCTATATTTTTTGCCCCCCCCAAAAAATGGGGACTGCTCAGGTCCCGGAAGTTGATGCAAGAGTCAGACCAGCACCTCAAGGACATTGAGAAGGTCCTCCAGAACGACAAGCGATATCTGGTTCTAGAGTGCGTCCCAGATGCACGCCGCAAGCTCATCATGTCGTACATCGAGGATCTGGACCGTAGGGGGCCGCCGCCCCCGCCTACCGCCTCGGAGCCCACTCGACGCTCCACCAAATGAGGGGCGCTCTGCCCCCTCAGGCTCCCCCGGGGCTAGCGGCGTGGCCGCACCGCAGCCTGCAGACTGCGCAGTATTAGCTAACGTCATCGTGACGAGGAGCATCCCAGCATCCATCCTGCATCACCTTATTCTCCAGATCACCAAACCCAAGATCTATGGACTCCAGGCGATGGTGATACCCTGACGTGTTCTTCACATCCGTGGTTACGTTTGGCGGTCCAGAAACCATTAAAACTATTTTCTATTTCTATTTTTATTTTTAGTTGTATGTATGTGTTCCTCTACACATACATGCTGGTATTCTGGAGATGCTAATTCTAATGGTGGTGATGACTGATCTTCTGACAGACGTCATTAATGCTAAAGTACAGTTTGAATGTCTAAATGTTTCCTAAAATTACTTAATTTTGATGTTGCGGTTTCTGTATAAGTTTACTGAAATAAAAGCAGCCTTCCATTTTTTTTTTATAAGCACACATAACGTTCAAACAAAAACACAATATGGCAGGTAGACACTGGTTTACTTTTATTACAAGGAAAGAACTTTATTACAAAACTATAGTTTCAAGACCATGCACAGAATCTCTTACTAGTACACAACCCTCCCCCTCCAAAATAATTCCTACAACATTCTTGGGAGCAGGTGCTATATATATATCATATATAATAATGTAAATGATTATTTACAATGGTTTGTAACACTGGATAAGCAGCTGTATGTGTAATATCTGCAGTAGGTTTTATATCCTGCCTGGAATTGGCAGGTCCACTGCGATGCTGGGTGTAGCAAAGGATTCATTTGAAAGAGATTCTTAAGCTTTGTTGAATGGGTTGGTTTTGTCAAGTTTTTATACATAAATGTATTTAAAATCACACACCAAATCACAGCTAAAAGTCAACAAATTACATCTCAAGAACAAATCCAAAGCTACTCTAGCAATACCTGCGTGTGTGTGTCTTTTGGTAAAGCCCAGCTCTACGAGGTCACTCTGTTGTACTCGCTGCCTTTGTTTGAGTGTGATAAACCCTGGCCGGTGTTGCAGTTGCCTGCAGCGATTCTGCGCATTTTATTTTTTGACTTCTGTTGGGTCCTGGTGCTCCCAGGGCACCGGGTCGTTCACATCAGTCAGCGAGTTGGTCTCGCGCTCTTGCCAGAACTGCTCCACGTCTGGCAAGACGATGCCATCCTTGTTGGCTGGACTCTCGGCGTCCGTGCAGCTGTGCTCCGCATCCTGGTCCGGCTTGGTCTCTGCTGGGCCGGACTTGCGGGGAAGCGCTTGTCCTGCGGCAGTTTCGGGTCTGGGACAGGGGCACTTCTGAGCCGTAGGTGTGTGCGGTCCCTGCTTGGGCTTGGGCGGGTGTTTCCGGAGAGTCAGCCGTCGCCACAGTCCTTTATAGCTCTCGCGGAACTCCTCGGACAGGGAGAGGACGATCATCGGGTTAATGAGGGAGATGGAAAACATCAGCAGCTGGGAGGAGAGCGTGAAGACGAGGGGCGGCGACGGGGCCGCGGTTTCTGTAACGTGGTGCCTCCACACCCAGGACACCCACTGTGGCAGCCACATGGTTGCCGTGGTGACCGTCAGGCTGAAGAGCATGAGTGTCAGTTTCCTGGAGCGTATTTGTGTCCTGAGGTTCTGGGTCTTGCTGCCATGCCGCTGACTGCTACCATACGCCCTCCAGAAGTAGAGCAGGGCAAAGCTGATGGGACCGCAGAAGGTGACCAGGGGGTACGCCTTGATGTACACAGACATGAACCTCAGAGTGTTGGGTGGCACGACTTGGATGCAGACCATTCTGTCACCATCTTTCTGAAGCACTGCAAATAGCCATTGGGGGACTGCGATCACACAAGCCAACAGCCAGGAGAAGAACAAGATGACCAGCACGGTTTTGCAGCGGATGCTCACCTGCTTCAGGGGGTTGCTCACATACTTGTAGCAGGCTTTAGCCATGATGGCGATAGTGAAGCTCTTCGCTGCCATGCAGGAATGCAGGAACCAATCGCAAGTCTTGCACACGAACCAGCCCAACGTCCAGCTCGCTCGCGAGAACGTGGCAGCCTTGAATGGGACTGTAAAAGCCAGCACTAGACCATCGGCAAACATGAGGTTGAGAATAAGGGAGTTGATCAGAGACAGTTTGCCCTTATGGGCATTGGTGAGGAGTACCCCCATAGCCGTGAGGTTTCCAGCAAAACCCAGGACACAGATGATCCCAAGAATGACTGGGATGAGCATTTTGAGTTCCCGCGAGTCCAGCCGTTGATAGGAATCCCACTCGGTAAACGACTCTGTATCAATGGTGCTGTTATCATTGCTTGAGTTAAGATTTTGCAGTTTATCCATTTTGTATCAGCTGCAGATCCAATATACTTCAAATGAAGGAAAGAAAAAGAAACGGTGATTATTATTTCAAGGTTAGAATCTTAGGATTTATTGTGGAATTTAGTCCAGCGACTCGCAGCCCCGTCCCTCGGCGATGGGTTTATCGGTCGGGATGATACTACGGGCTCTGTGCGCGCATTTATAAAGGTACAGTTTGATTGACAGTTGCCTTCTCCAGCTGACTTTAAGCGTTTCCTTTACCTGTTGCGGTAACCTCATGGGGCCAATTAATATAATCATTAGCAAAACCTTAGAGAAAAAAACAATAACCCCTACTATAATTAATGCTTCCATCTAATAAAACTCGATCCTGGTCTTAGAAACTACTATATATTCTTCTAAATGTTTTATTTGAGGTGAGTTCAAATTGAATTAAAACTCAAGATTCGGCTAGATTTCATTAGATACATAGAAATGGTGATGATTTATTTCAACTGAAAAATAGAAATGAAATCAACAGTACGTATAATTTGAATACCTATTTCCCGTGGTTTCTTGGGTATTTCCAAGCTTTTAGAGCTATAATTTTAGCTTTTTAATAAAGCATTTTGATTTATTATTATGCAATAAGACTACAGTTCATCGGGAAGCATTTGTAATATATCACATGCGTCACCATCATGTTTGAACTTAATTTTTATTTTCTTAATATATAATCTCTTTTTTGTACTCTCGTAATAACTTAGGCCTCGTAGATAATAATGAGGATTCCTTGCTAATGCATAATTATGCTCATAGTGGTTTTGTATACGTATATCCTACATACTCTAGTCTGATTCTAACACCGACGCTAATTCGATAAAATGAACACATGGTGGCGATGTTGCTTAAATGTAGTATCTGCGTTTTGGCGGATTCTTGGTTGTATTAATGTGGCTTTTGTAAGCAGATGTGTTATGTCTGGGTAAAACGTCGGCTTTCTTGACGGCAGAAGCATGAATGAAGTCCGAATAAATTTCACCGTAAGTACTGGGTTGGGGGATGGAATGCTGTATCCCTAGTCCACTAATTATGGTTCGACGAGGATCTCGAAAACTAATCCAGTAGTTTTTCTGCTAAAAGTATGAAACTTTAACGGAGTCTTGTGTAAAAAAAAAGAATAGCCAGTAATTACTAACTGCAAATCGAAGATTTCCAGCCTGGCACACGTGTTTCATTTGGCACATCACATTGGGTGTCCGTGTTTAATCCGCACTTGAAACCACGAGAAATAGTGGGTTTGGCGAATTTCGTTTTTCACCTTGATCTAAAAATTTTCCCTTCTTTGCATTTTACCTCGTCCATACGCATCTTATTTACCGGCTGCTCTTTATCGATCAATCCTAGTGGAGCTAATTATAACACAAATGAGATGATGGAGCGCGGATGCTGCAGTCAGCGCGCGGCGAAGGGGCGCCGTGCAGCATACGGAGAGGGAGGCTGGCGGCGCGCGGGCTAATGAACCCGCGCTTTCTCCTCTGCATTACATGCATAATGGAAAATGTTTCATTTGAGTAGCTGACATCAATATTAAGACGTAATTGCACATGTGAGGCGGATTACTCAGTTCAAATTGCATTGAGGGATATAAATGAAACGTCAGGTATGCTTATCGGAACGCTTTGTATACTCTTTGAGGCTTGCTTACGAAGTGGATGCTACACACATCGCTGGTTATCGGACATCTTGGTCATCCAGATCGTGATCACTATGCCTGACGAACTATACCGTCTTCTTTACCGACGGTATTCATGGCATCATTAATGACAAATATTGGTGTTTCACAAATTTCAAGCACGTATTAATCTTCCTGATTGATATAGCTGAACCGCTGCCTTAGCTCTGATTTTTGGTAAGCAGTGTAGCTAAGATCGAATTGTTTAGAAAAGAGGATTGTGAGTTTTCGTAGTCTCAGCTCAAAAGATCAGAACTTCTGAAATATCGTTTCACGCGATTCTTTAACATTACGATTTAGTTAAAGGAAAATTAGGGCGTAATTAGAAGGCGGCTCAGATAAAAACTGCTTCTGGTTAGCTTTAAAAACGTGCCTGTTATGCATATGGTATTTAAAAACACTGAATACAGCAAAAGTGTCTAGTTTATTCTTGTATTTTAATAACTCTAACGTGGATACCAGTTAGTAATGAAGCCGACCACAGGCAACGTAAAACGCATGCATGTACAAGGACACAATCATGAACCATGTTCAATACATAGATGACAGTTTGCCTACCTGCGTTTCTTTAAGCTGCGGGAAGTAACCCGTACAATACAAGGGGAGCACGCAGGTATTCATGTCTTTATGGGGACTCTCATTTCTGTGGGCATGACCCTATTCCTATAACCAAACAAGACTATTGGCATTTTTCGTTTATTGATTTCATTTTCATATATATATATGTGTGTGTGTGTGTGTGTGTGTGTGTGTGTGTGTGTGTGTGTGTAAAATAAGGCTTCTGAGCCTTATTTATTCCATGAAACATGAAAGACTAATCCTGTATGTCCACTGGAGTGTGTGGGAAGTGCCGCATTGCTTCTAAAATATTCACTGTAATTCATAACAAGTCTACGCAATATGTGAAGTGTAAGAAATATCTACACCTTTATCTTATTTGTGAATCTTGAGTTTTATTTGTACAAACACATTCTCTCAAAAATTGCAATCCAGAGCTAATAATCATATCCCAGCATGGCCAGAATTCAATCAACAGCCCAAGTAGTACAGTGAGAGCAAGCATTTCTGGGATCATGTTTGGGAGCCATTGTTATAACGGTGCATCCATCTAGTTATCCATCATCTTTCTATCCATTTATCCAGGTGATGGTCATATTGTGAGATGTTTAAATGCATTTGATGTGTGTCTTAATTAGGCCCCTGTGGACACTTAGATCATTGTAGGTTACCGTCCTGCTGTGTCTGCATGACGACTTTGATGTTTTCGTGATTATGCCTGCTAGCATTCCACATGTCCAAAGACTGACTAAACTGAAATGTCATTATGCAGAGTACTATCAGCAAATCATTTTAGTCCTATGAAAATACACATTGATGTTTTGCAGCAAAACAGATCTTGACTCTTGATTGGATCAAACTGATCATTTTATGATAATATAATTTTGGATTCAATATACAGTGTCATTGTCATCAAATTAGGCAGAGGAGAAGCTTACCAACAAGGAAGGCTTGAGGATACCAGCCAAAAGCCAGCCTGACCACATGGATGAGAAAATAAATATGTATTCTAGCTGGAGATCCCCCCCCCCCCCTGTAATATTAAAAAAGGACACGGGAGGCTTCGTGAGAGTTCCAGCTTGCTTTGTGTTTTACTTCAATGAATACTAGAGAGCATAAAGACTGCATGACAATTAAATACATTTAAATACATTCTGAGCTATAAAACTTTTTCATTAAGAAGTTTACAACTTAAATAGTTCAGAAGACATTACTTATTAAAGGAATTGTACCTAAAGTTCCCTGATATCATAGAACCTTTGTCACTGGTTAGGCTACATCATACCGCCATTACTCTCATGTCATGGGAGGATCTACTGGTCCAGTTGTGTCTCTTTATTTCTTAGACCATGAAATCTCAAGTATGTAACCAAGCCCAGCACTGCATTGTGTTTGGCTGTGGTAGTCCTTTGAGCAGAACTGGAAAGTATGAGGGTCGGTAAAGAAGAACCGCAAAGGGACCTTTGCAGTGGTTTTCGTAATACTCTAGTACAGCACACAACCTCCCCCTGGACAGAGACAGGGACTTAGACAGAGGAAGACTGAGAGCTGGAGAAGAGACGGGGGCAGGGTCAGCCGTCTCTCTCAGACCTCACGCGCCAAAGCAGCTCCAGGAACTTTCCAAGGAAGAGCAGCTTGGCCAGCTTCACTGTGGAATGAGCTGTGCTCTGCACAGAGTCTTGGGAGTCAGAGGCCTCAAGCAGCCGCTGACACAACACAGGGAGCTTGCCTGACGCAGCATCAGACCGAAAGCTCAAACTTATGAATTTATGAACAGAGTGAGGAACACAGGCAGAATGTTAAAAGAAGTGACAGAGATAATTATTATGGATGGATGGATAATCTTGGTGCCATCAGTTCTCTTCTTGACAAGCTCAAAGGCTTTTCTGAAATTTTAATTAGAATTTAATTAGAATTTATTTGCACAATGACTTTTGTGCAGAATACAGCATTGAAGTACAACTATATTAAATGTACCAAAGGATGTATCACAAATACATGTACTTAAAATCAGCCTTTTTGCCATTTATAGTTTTAAAAAACATTCATTCCTAATCACTCAGGCACGTAAAAATGCAGAGTTTCTACAATCATCCAGTTCTTCAACATGTTGCAAATGGCGTCCAAAAGAGGCACCACTGAGCCAGCGCTTCCTCCCCCATGCAAGCCCACACCACCCTGCATTTGTCCTTGACGGTTCTACATGGTCCATGACATGGATTACTGAGGCCGTTTCTCTACCATTATGTGATCAAATACCAGAGCAAGGCACAACAGCTTCTTCATTCCAATACTGAAAAAAACTGAAGCAAAATGAAAACGCACTTGAACAAATTAACGTGTGTCTGCTCAGAGGCACACTCCAGTGTCCCATTTAAGAATGGAGCAGCAGGAAGTGCAGGGCAATCATCTGGGAAGGGAACCAATCAGAAACACTTGTTGTTCCATAATACTCCATTTTCTCTGCACTTTAAGAGCTGGCAACATGCCGTACTTCTTTGACGGGGGCGGACAGTCGTAGTGCCAAGTGGAATCCTTTGTGGGAAATCAGGCTGGTTGCAGAAACGAGAGACACGTGGGATGTGACACTGTTTCCACCTTTAGGTTAGAATAGCATCATTTGGTATTTTTTCGGCAGCTGAAACAACATGGGCAGCAGTACCTTGTAAGTTCTGTCTCTGTTTCTTAGTCTCTCTTCTTGTGGATGTCAGCTGGAGGTGGTTACATCTTCACTTTCTCTCTCTCCTTAACCACATTCTAGTCCTCGCTTAGTGGTGAAACACTGAATGCACCTTCGGGTACCAATATCAGTGTGAAATAAATAATAAGATAATGAAAATAAGGGGAGGGTATGGGTTTATGAAGGACATCTGTAGTTCATACCAGCCCAGCAATGTCCTCGCTGCAACATTGGAGAAATGAACATTTTCCTTCTCTTGGCCTTTCTCAA